TTCAGACTGGGGAACACACTTTCAAAATGAAAGGACGACACAGATCGGTCGCCACTGTTACCCGTTGTGTTCCGCGCCCCCTCTTCTAAGGGTCTTTGTCTTGCTTACGGCCATGGTGCCCATCCCATCACGGCATGGCCATCCACATCTTGATGGACATTCCCTTGATGCCCTCTACTGCCCTCCCCACCCCCAAATCTCATCAAGGTCACGCGTGTGGAGAGGAGGAGGAGGAGATTCAAGAACTGAGTGGGTAGAGGGCCGGGAAGACATTTCAGTTGTCCCGTCCTCTGCCCAGGATCCAGATCCTGTGGGATCGGAGCCGCAGGTTGAAAGCAGAGTTCTGCATGTAGGGCCCCTGCCCACCCCCCACCCCCCAGCTGTTTCGGGACATAGCCCAAAGAGGATTAGCCAAGTCGACATGTGAGCCCCCTGCCCCTGTGAAGGTTATTCCCGCCACCCTTCTGCAGTCAGCATCTGGGCTCTGAAGGCCACAGAGGCAGGGGTCCCTCAGTGCTGGGCCCTGGCGAAGTGGCTTTGGAGCCCTCTCTGTGGGTGTCTTCCCTTTGGGGCGGCAGCCCCCTCATGATTTCTCTTTTTCTCTCCTCCCATCCCTCACACTTTCTCTTGTTTTTCTCTGCATGGTATCTGTCTCACTAGTCCTGAGGTAAGAGCTGGTTCAGTGCCTTGTCTACAGCCCCTTCCTCCTCTTCCTGTGCGTCCGCCCTGCCTGCCCAGGCCCTTTGCACCTGTGTGTCTGGAGCGGAGCGGGTCAGGAGGGTCATGGTGGGGAATCCTTTGCCAGCTGCACGCACGGCCTGGCAGGGCACAGCACAGTGGTCCACCTCAGGTGCTCCCTGCCCCCTTCTCCGCCCAGGCTCCCGCCTAGCTGTCTGCTCCAGTATCGTTTCTCCCCAGGTGGAGGGGCCTGGGGGTGGCCCCCTCCTCCCCTTCCTGCCCCAAGCCTTGCCTGCTGTCCCCCGTGCAGCGTGGAGGTCATCCGCCTGGGTCACAGCTACTTCATCAACTGGGACAAGAAGATGTTCTGCACGAGGAAGCGGACGCCCGCGGAGGCCCGCACCACCACCCTGAACGAGGAGCTGGGCCAAGTGGAGTACATCTTCTCGGATAAGACGGGCACCCTCACGCAGAACATCATGGTTTTCAACAAGTGCTCCATCAGCGGCCGAGGCTACGGTAAGGCCGCGCGGCGTTGGGGGGCGAGGGCGCTGCCTGCATCTAGGCGAGCAAAGCCAGTGAGATGGATCTGCACAAGGATCCCTTAAGGAAACGGTCCATGCCATCGTGGGGTGAGGCCTGGCACGTCGTCCCAAGTTCGTGGGTCAGGTGTCAGGCCGGAGATGGCAGATTTATGCCTGGAGGACCGGAGGGAAGAGTGGCGTGTTGAGAGAGAGGAGGGAGGGCGCATGGGTTGGGTTCCTAGATAATCCATTTAGGAACCGGAGGCAGACCACAGCCCCACACGACATCCCCTCTCACCTGACTGGCTGAGCACGCCGGGTCACATCGTGGAAGGTAATGACCTTCTGTTACACGTGGCAGAGCCCACAGTCTGACGTCTGCCTAAGCCCTGGGAACCCTAGCTTCGTCCACTTGGCCGAGAACACGAGCGGTCACAGGCTGCCTCTTGCCTGGGGGCAGAGTGGGACTCTCGGCGCGGGGGCTGGGTCTCTCCCACGGGAGTTTGAGGGCCTGTGGAAGAGTCTGTTCAGGATCCGTCAGGAAGCAGATACCGAGAACACTTCCTGACCCTCTGTGGATGCGCCGCGGCTAGGTGGCCCGGCTTCTTGGGTCCTGGAGGCAGACGGGGCTCAGCTGCAGGTGTAGGGAGCTCCCCGACGGATGGACGGACGGAGGCCCTGAAAGAGTGGCTCTGGGTGGTGTCTTGGCCAGGTTGAACCTTGGCTGCCCCGGTGGAGCACTAGATTGTCATGTGTTGCCGTTTGGGGCCTCGCGAGTTTCTAGAAAGTGACCCTGAGCTTGCTGGTGTGGCCTCTGGGCAGCGGTGTCCTGGCTGAGCTGCGGGAAGGATGGGGCGGGCAGGGCGTGTGCAGGCCGGGAGCCTTTATCCCGACTGCTTCCTGTACTAACCTGGGCCCCGCACCCCATGTGTGAGGCTGTATCCTGTCTGGTATGGGGGCCCAACGGGAGGGGTCTCTAGAAACCTGCGGGGAGGAACATAGAACCGGCGCTGCCGGGAGTGGGGTGGGTGGAGGGAGCGGGGATGGGGCAGGGCCATGACTCTACCTTGACCAGGACTCTAGGTGCTGAGGATCCAGGGTGCCTGTTGCCTCCTGGGCTTGGGGTCTGTCCGACGGGGGTCGGCGTGTCTGCTTTTGCCGTGGCGTGGCTCTCTACCACGGGGCGCTCGCCCCTGCCCTGACCGCGCTTCTCCCCTGTGCTCTGCGCAGGTGACGTCTTCGATGTCCTCGGACAGAAAGCCGAGCTGGGAGAGGTAAGGTCCAGCTCTCATACCTGCTCCACTAGGGGCTTCCAAGGGCTCCTAGGAAAGTGTGATGGACAGAATGCCCCTCTCGGAGCTCCCTCGGATGTGCTGGCTGGTCCCAGCCGTTCGGAGTCGGGTGTGGTGGGGCACCGTGGCTAGGCAGTGGACGCTGCATGGAGGAAGGAGTGTCTTGAGGAAGACTTGGGGTGGGGTGGGAGGGGTGAGTTGGTAGAGAGCCAGCCCTGGCCCAGGATCCAGTGTGAAGGCCCCCTGGCCCTGAGAGCCCTCTACCCTGTTCCAGAGGCCCGAACCCGTTGACTTCTCCTTCAATCCGCTGGCTGACAAGAAGTTCTTATTCTGGGACCCCAGCCTTTTGGAGTCTGTCAAAACAGGAGACCCCCCCACACACGAGTTCTTCCGCCTCCTGTCCCTGTGCCACACCGTCATGTCGGAAGAAAAGAGTGAAGGTGAGCAGAGGTGCTGCCTCAGGTGTGGTCATTATCCATCTGTCCGCCCGCCCGCCCGCCCTTGGGCTCCGGCTCCGGACTGCCAGCAGGGGCCTTCCTGTCCTTAGAAGGGTGGCCGCTGACCTTGAGTGTGTTCCTCCAACCCACCCAGGGGAGCTGTACTACAAAGCCCAGTCCCCAGACGAGGGCGCCCTGGTCACTGCGGCCAGGAACTTTGGCTTTGTTTTCCGCGCTCGGACCCCTAAAACCATCACTGTCCACGAGCTGGGGGCGGCCGTCACCTACCAGCTGCTGGCCATCTTGGACTTCAACAACATCCGCAAGCGCATGTCCGTCATAGGTGAGCCCAACTCGGGGCCTGGACCCTGAGTGCGGTGCTGGGTGACCCTAGCAGGGGTGCTTTGGTTGCGGACGGGGCGTTCCTTCACCCGCCCGGATTTCCACAGTGCGGAACCCCAAGGGGAAGATCCGGCTGTACTGCAAAGGGGCGGACACTATCCTGCTGGACAGACTGCACCCGTCCAACCAGGAGCTGCTCACCACCACCACTGACCACCTGAATGTAGGTGGGAGCGGCACAGGGCCTGCTGTGGGTTGGCTCCTCTCATGGATGGAAGCGGGGGGTGGGGG